GCAGCAAACGCAGCAGCAACTGCTGCAGCTGCCGCTGCACCAGCGCCTTCGAGCACACCGCAGCAGCAGCAGCAGCAGCAGCAGCAGCAGTGGAGAGCAAAACCGCAGCAGCAGCAGCAGCAGCAGAGGAGTGAAGCTTTCTGGGCAGAACAGCAAAAGCGGCCAGCAGGTTGAGGAATCTGCAACAGCAGCAACAGCAGCTGTCGCAGCTGCGGCAACAGCAGCAGCTGCAACAGCAGCAGCCGCAACAGCAGCAGCTGCAACAGCAGCAGCTGCAACAGCAGCTGCAGCAGCAGCTGTAGCAGCGCAACCTTACTTCTGCTGTAGCTAGTGCTGACGTAGCGGTTTTCAACCGAGCAGCAGCTGCAGCAGCTGCAGCTGCAGCAGCAGCAGCTGCAGCAGCAGCAGCTGCAGCAGCAGCAGCTGCAGCAGCAGCAGCTGCAGCAGCAGTGCTGCAGCAGCAGCAGCAGCTGCAGCAGCTGCAGCAGCAGCTGCAGCAGCAGCTGCAGCAGCAGCTGCAGCAGCTCCAGTTAGCTGAAGCAGCGTTGCTGCTGCTGTCCCATATTAGCAGCACAGGCCTTCAACAGCAGCTTTGAGCGCCCTTCTGAACAGCAGCAACTGCAGCAGCAGCAGCTGCGGCTGCTGCAGCAGCAGCTGCGGCTGCTGCAGCAGCAGCAGCAGCCCCCGTGTGTGCACGCTAGTTCGTTTTTCCCCCCTTTTTGCTCCCTAAACCCTAAACCCTAGAGTCTGAAAGAGCGAGTTTGGTTGTCTTGCTGCGCCGGCAAACCCTAAACCCTAAACCCTCGCTCCGGCGCTGCAGACATGCGTGGGGGCAAGTTGGCGTTAGGGTTTCAGCTGTGGGGCCGCGGAATTAGGGTTTAGGGTTTGGGGTTTAGCGTTTAACATTTAGGGTTTAAGGTATGCTGCTCGCAGCAGCAGCATGCAAAGGTGCAGCGCTTGAGGCCTTGCTGCTGCTGCTGCTGCTGCTGCTGCTGCTGCTGCTGCTGCTGGGCCTGCATGCGGTGCCCCTGACGCGTCGTGGGAACCCTAAACCCTAAACCCTAAACCCTAAATGCCAAGTTGGAAACCCAGAGGGTTATTGTAGTTTGTGCTGCCGACAGCCACTAGTTGCTGCTTCTCCCTCGCTATCCTCTCTCAGGGCTCCGGGCCTGCTGCTGCTGCTGCTGCTGCTGCTGCTGCTGCTGCTGCTGCTCGGCGTGCTGCTGCAGCAGCAGGGTTTTGGCCTTTGCAAACTTCTTTACCGCAGCTGCTGCAGCTGGCGGCGCTTCGTGCCGCTGCCCTGAACTCTTTAGACCCTAAACCCTAGACCCTAAACCCTAAACCCTAAACCCTAAGCCGTAAACCCTAAACCCTAATCCGCAATGACAGATCGACACAGCGAGTCGGTTAAGGAGAAACTCTCTCTTAGCCTGGACGAGATAATTGCGCTGAACAACAAGCAGCAGAAGCAGCAGCAGCAGAAGCAACAGAAGCAGCAGCAGCAGCAGCAGCAGCAGCAGCAAGCAGCAGCAGGCCCCCAAAGACGCAGACGCAACAACTCTGCTGCTGCTGCTGCAGCACCATATGCACAACGGGGCCCCCGTCAACCCTATTTTCACAATGGAAGTACGAGTGCCCCTACAGCAGCAACAGCAGCAGCAGCAGCAGCAGCAGCAGCAGCAATGGCAGCAGCAGCAGCAGCAGCAGAATTTAGCTCTTCCTTCTTAGCGCTGTGCTTTTTCTGCTGCAGTACCGGCGGTGGGATACTCTGTGAAGGTCTTGGGCCTGCCAGTTGGTTAGCGAAGGATTAGGGTTTAGGGTTTAGGGTTTAGGGTTTAGGGTTTAGGGTTTCGGGTTTCGCCCTCTCACTCCGGGTTCAGCAGGGTTTGGGGTTTGGGATTTGCGAGTTTGACATCAGGGTTCAGGGTTTTGACAACAGAGGCAAGGCCTAAGAGGGTTCGGGACTAGTGTGTAGGGTTTAGGGTTTAGGGTTTAGGGTTTAGGGTTTAGGGTTTAGGGTTTGCGTTCCAGGTCTGCCATGGCCTCGACTGGAGGGAATGCTGCGAAGGGCCTTTGGGCACTGCGGTGCCATCATAGCAGTCGTTCCGCGGCGAGACGGAGAGGCGTGAGGGTTTAGGGTTTAGGGTTTAGGGTTTAGGGTTTAGGGTTTGGGGTTTGCGTCGCTGATGCGCGGGGCTCTGATGCTTATTCCGGCGTAGCTGCGCCTTTGTGGGGGTTTAGGGTTTGGGGTTTAGGGTTGACCTTTTGCTTCTTCCCTTTGAAGACCCTGGCCTCGCTCCGAGGGTTTAGGGTTTAGGGTTTAGGGTTTAGGGTTTAGGGTTTAGGGTTTAGGGTTTGCGTGCAGCTGGATCCAGTTTGCTGACGTCTCGGCCTGCAGAGTGGCTCTAGCGGAAATGCAGAGCGCCAAAATTGGGGGACAGACAGTCACTGTAGAGAGGGTTGGTGTCGAGGGTTTAGGGTTTAGGGTTTAGGGTTTAGGGTTTAGGGTTTAGGGTTTGAGGTTTGGGGCCTGCGCCGGAGAAGACGGCTTGTGGACTGGCACTTTCGGCAGCCCGCAAGGAGCTTGGCTTCGTTGCAGCCTCGGTTTTCACTAGGGTTTAGGGTTTAGGGTTTAGGGTTTGTGGTTTAGGGTTTAGGGTTTAGGGTTTGTTTGTTGAACTGTTCAGGGCAACAGAGTCGCGACAGGCGCTGCTGCTGCTGCTGCTGTGGGGGCCCCCTGGGGGGTTCAGGGGGCCCTGTGGGGCAGGGGGCCCCCCCCTCCTTATAGCTATCCTGCTGCTGCTGCTGCTGCTGCTGCTGCTGCTGTAAACCCTCTTGCTGCAGCGCCATTTCTTGCTGCTAGGGAGCAGCAGCAGCCGGTGACTCCCGCCGGCCCTTCGGTGCGCCAAACCCTAAACCCTAAACCCTAAACCCTAGCCAAACCCTAGACCGCGAACTATCCACTGAACAACCCTCTCAGCACCCTCGCCTAAACCCTAAACCCTAAACCCTAAACCCTCATTGTGCTGCTTCATTCTTGTGTTTTCTCGGGCTGTTGATGACAATTTTTAATTAAATAAATTGTTTGAAAGTAAATAAACTGTTCAGCCGAGAAAGGGTTTGAACTCGTGGGCCCCTGCTGCTGCTGCTGCAGCAGGAGCTGCTGCTGCTGCAGCAGCTGCTGCTGCTGCAGCAGGAGCTGCTGCTGCAGCAGCTGCTGCTGCTGGGTCGGCCTTGAGTGTCCTTCAGGGCTGGGGTTTAGCGTTCGAAGTCCTCGGGTTTAGGGTTTAGGGTTTAGAGCCTTGTTGAATCCCGTGTGTGTCGTGTTGACCTTGGCCCGAGGGTTTAGGGTTCAGGGTTTAGACTTCATGGTTCAGGGTTTAGGGTTTAGGGTTCAAGCCTCAGGGTTTAGGGTTTAGGGTCCAGGGTTCAGTGTTCAGTGTTCAGTGTTTAGGGTTTAGGGTCCAGGGTCCAGGGTTTAGGGTTTAGGGTTTAGGGTTTAGGGTTTAGGGTTTAGGGTTTAGGGTTTAGGGTTTGTTTCGTCAGGGTTCGACGGTGGTGGTGTCGAACGTGCCAGTGGACCTGACAGCAGCAGAAATAAGTGGAGCTTTTAATTGTGTGGGAGAAGTGAGTGGTTGTGATTTGCTGCTGGACAGTTCGGGTGTACATACAGCTCGTGCTGCAGTCACCTTTGCCCGCAGAAGTGCTGCAGCAGAAGCTGTCCGCCGCTTCGACGGCGGCGACCTCAACGGACACGTCATCCGCGTCTTCCTCGAGTTGCAGCAGCAGCAGCAGCAGCAGCAGCAGCAGCAGCAGCAGCAGCAGCAGCAGCAGCAGCAGCAGCAGCGGCGGCGGCGGCGGTGGCGGCGGCGGCGGAGGAGGAGGCGGCGGGGGTGCAGCAGGAGCCGCAGCAGCAGCAGCAGCAGCAGCAGCGGGGGAGCACGCTGCGGGCGCGGGCTAGGCGGCCGAGCAGCAGCAGCAGCAGCAGCAGCAGCGGCTGCTGCTGCTGGTCTGCTGCTGCTGCTGCTGCTGCTTCTGGGAGTCAAGGCGCCCCGCGAACAGCAGCGGGGCTGCCTGCAGCAGGCGATGCACCGCAGCAGCAGCAGCAGCAGCTGCTGCTGCTGCTGCTGCTGCTGCAGGCTAAGGCGTACCCACGAGGCCGCCAGAGCCAGCAGCAATCCTCAAAAACGAATATTTCTTTTTCTTTGGCGGGTTCACGCAACAGCTCCCTCAACCATTAAGGGTTTAGGGTTTAGGGTTTAGGGTTTAGGGTTTAGCAGAGATGAGCTAAACAGCGCAAAGAGATGCTTTGAGGACCTGGGAATTCCTTAGACTGAACTAGGCTTAAACTGCAAAAAACTCCCTGTTTTAGGGTTTAGGGTTTAGGGTTTAGGGTTTAGGGTTTCCAACAGAACAAATTCAAAGTGCGGAGCGTACTGAGGTGTACGTACACCTCAAACAAAAAAACAAACATAAAACACTTTCAGGTGTATGTCCACCTAAACCTTAACCCCAAACCCTAAACCCTAAACCCTAAACCCTAGTCCGTTTCTGTGTCTTCGCGCTTTCCTGCCCCCCCGGCAGTTCCAAAGCCGCGCTAGGGTTTAGGGTTTAGGGTTTAGGGTTTGCTTTTGCTTCTTTTTCTTAAGCTTCAGCAGCTGCAGTTCTGCTGCTGCTATATTTAATTTGGCCCGCAGCATCAGCATCTCCAAAGCAGCAGCACAGAGCACGCCGGGGCCCCCAGAAGCAGCTCCTAAATGCTGCTGCTGCTGCTGCTGCTGCTGCTGCTGCTGCAGCTGCTGCTGCTGCAGCTGCTGCTGCTGCTGCTGCAGCTGAGGGGGCGGAAGCGGCAGCGGCATGCGCGGTTGCAGGCACGGCAGCGGCGTGCTGGCTGCTGCTGCTGGCGCCGCTCCAGCAGCAGCAGCAGCAGCAGCAGCAGCAGCGGCAGCAGCAGCAGCAGCAGCAGCAGGGATGCTGCTGCCGGGCTGTTTAAAGGCAAAGGCTGGAGGAAGCATGTAGTTAAGAGCTGAAGACTCTCTCTTGCTCATATCTCCTGTCCTAAGACTCTTCCCCAGACCTGCTGCTGCTGCTGCTGCTGCTGCTGCTGCGCCGAACTGCTGCTGCTGCTGCTGCTGCCTGCGGGCGCCAGCAGCAGCAGCAGCAGTTCGAGGCCCTTTGCCGCTGTCTGAAGCGTTGCTGTTGTCTTCAGAGGCAAAATCAGCATCACTGCTGCTGCTGCCGGGAGCAGCAGCAGCAGCAGCACGGCCGGGGGTGTCCTGCTGCTGCTGCTGCTGCTGCTGCTGCTGCTCTGCTGCAGCAGCAGCAGCAGCTCTGCGTCTGTGCGTGCCTTTTTCTTTTAAAAGAGAAGCAGAACCCATCAGTCTCCTCCGCAGCTGCTTCAGCTCTTCTTCTATTTTCCATTTGACTCTATCATCGTGCTGCTGCCGCTGCTCCTGGAGCTGCAGCTGCTGCTGCTGCAGCAGCTGCAGCTGCTGCTGCTGCTGCTGCACCTGGTGCAGCTGAGCAGACAGCGACTGCTGCTCCCGCAGCACTTCTTGCTGCTGCAGCTGCTGCTCGTGCTGCCGCAGTTTCAGGCTGTCTATACACTCCATGCTGGCTCTGTCTGCTGTGTCCCGCTGCTGCTGCAGCTGCTGTAGCTGCTGCTGCAGCTGCTGCAGCTGCTGCTGCTGCAGCTGCTCCAGATGCTGCTGCCACACTTGCTGCTGGTTTGCGTGCTCCTTGTACTCGGTCCAGTGCTCTTGCTGTTGCTGCTGCTGCTGCAGCTGCTGCTGTTGCTGCTGCTGCTGCTGTGCCAACAAGGCAGCAACATCAGCAGCCTGTTGCTGCTGCAGTGCAGCAGTCTCTCTTGCGAGCTGCTTCTCTTGCTGCAGCAGCTCCTGCTGCTGCCTCCCCAACTCCAGCACATCTACCAGCTCCTGCTGCAGCTGCTGCAGCGTTGCTGTTTGCTGCTCTGTCTTTTTAGCTAGCTGCTGCTGCTGCTCAGCTAGCTGCTGGTAGCTGCATCCCAAGGAACTCAACTTTTGCTGCTGCTGCTGTTGCTGCTCTTTCTGCTGCTGCTGCTCGTTTTTCAGCTCGGAATGCTGCTTCTGCTGCTGCTGCTGCAACTGCTGCTGCTGCTGCTGCAATTGCTGCTGCTGTTGCTGCAGCTGCTGCTGCAGTTGCTGCTGCAACTGCTGCACCTGTCGCAGCTGCTGCTGCAGCTGCTGCTGCTCGGACCGCAGATCGTCAGCAGCCTTTGATGTTTGTTTAGCCTGAAGCAGCAGCAGCAACAGCGAAAATAGCAGAAGTAAGAGGAGCAGCAGCAGCAGCAACAGCAGCAGCAGCACCAAGCGCAGCAGCAACAGCAGCAGCAGCAAAAGCAGCAGCAACAGCAGCAGCAGCACAAGCAGCAGCGACTATAACAGCAAATGCAAGAGTAATAGCAGTGGGACGAGCTATTGCAGAAAGGGGCGCAGTAGTAACAACAGCAGCAGCAACAGCAGCAGCAACAGCAGCAGCAACAGCAGCAGCAACAGCAGCAGCAACAGCAGCAGCAACAGCAGCAGCAACAAGTGTAGCAACAACAGCAACAGCGTTATCTTACAATTTGCTGCTGCGCAGTAGTAACAAGAGCAGCATCAACATCAGCAACAACAGCAGCAGCAACAACAGCAGCAACAGCAGCAGCAACAAGAGTCGCAGCAACAGCAACAGCGTTATCTTACAATTTGCTGCTGCGCAGTCTCCAACGCCCTTTGCTGCTGCTGTTGCTGCTGCTGCTGCTGCTGCTGCAGTTTATTTAACTCGCCAGAAAGAACAGACACAGAAGCCTGCAGCTGCTCGTTCGCCGTTTGTCTCTGAAGACACAAACCCTAAACCCTAAACCCTAAACCCTAAACCCTAAACCCTAGGCCTCTGGCTCCCAGGAGGGGTAAAAAGGCTAGTTAAAAAGCAGAAGTGAAGAGCAGCAAGAAACGGAGGTGTACATACACCCGAAGCTGCAGCAAGAAGCACTAAAAACAAAAAAGAAAAATAAAACAAAAAAATAAAAATTGAAAAATTAAAAAGAATGAAAACTGAGCCTCACCTCTTCTTTCTCTTCATTTAAATCGACTTCCTGCCGCTGCAGCGCATCCGCCTGAGCAGCAGCAGCAGCAGCAGCAGCAGCAGCAGCAGCAGCAAGAGCATCAGCAGCAGCAACAGAGTGAGCAGCGAGAAAGCAGCAGCAGCAGAAACAACGGAAGCAGTCCAGCAAAAGCAACACAAGAATCAGCTCTAGAAGCACGAGCAGCAGCAGCAGCAACAGCAGCAGCAGCAGCAGCAGCAGCAACAGCAGCAACAGCAGCAGCAACAGCAGCAGCAGCAGCAGCAGCAGCAGAACCCTCGCCACCTACCAGGCCCCCGCCCCAGCGGCCCGAGAGATAATCGTTTAACGAAGCAAATAAATAAAAATAATAAATAAATAAACAAATAAATAAATAAATAAATAAATAAATAAATAAATAAATAATTAATAAATAAATAAATAAATAATTAATTAATTAATTAATTAATTAATTAATTAATTAATTAATACCTTTTTATTTAAAGTTGTGTTTTCTGCGTAGAGACGCAGCAGCTCTTGCTCGGATATGGCGCAGCAGCTCATTTGGTTGTGCTGCTGCAGCAGCAGCAAACTATTTGCTGCTGGGTAGCTGCTGCTGCACTTGCAGTCTCTAATAATGTTGCTGCACCCACTCATCTTCAGTTTGTTGCTGCTGCTGCTGCTGCTGCTGCTGCTGCTGCTGCTGCTGTTGCTGCTGCTGTTGCTGCTGATGCTGTCACTGCTGCTGCTGCGGCTGCTGTTGGTGCTGCTGTTGGTGCTGTTTCCGTTGCTGCTGCTGCTGCTGCTGCCGTTGTTGTTGTCGTGTTGCTGCTGATGCTGCTGTTGCTGCTGCTGCTGCTGCTGCTGTTGCTGCTAGTGTTGCTGCTGATGCTGTCACTGCTGCTGCTGCGGCTGCTGTTGGTGCTGCTGTTGGTGCTGCTTCCGTTGCTGCTGCTGCTGCTGCCGTTGTTGTTGTCGTGTTGCTGCTGCTGCTGCTGTTGCTGCTGCTGCTGCTGCTGCTGCTGTTGTTGCTTTTGGTGGCAGTGGTTGTAGTGGTGGTGCTGCTATTACTGGCGTTGCTGCTGCTGATGCTGCTGCTGCTGTTGCTGTTGCTGCTGCTGCTGCTGCTGCTGCTTTTACAGTCAGTGCCGCTGCCCTTAGAGCCAGTGCTGCTGCTGCCGTCAGTGCTATTACTGTCGCTGCTGCTTCTGTTATTGATGCTGCTGCTGCTGCTATTGTAAGCGCTGCTGCTGCTGCTGTTGCTGCTGCTGCTGCTGCAGCACGTGCTGCTGCTGCTGCTGCTGCGTGCCCCCTCACGGCCTTATCCGCAGAAGCAGGTGCTGCAGACAAACAAACAAACAAATAAACAAATAAATAAATAAATAAATAAATAAATAATAAATAAATAAATTATAAATAAATAAATTAATTAATTAATTAATTAATTAATTAATAATAAATAAATAAATAAATAAATAAATAAATAAAACATTTAATGATGCTGCAAGCGTCCCTGAAGCAGCGCTGGCAGCAGCACAAAACCCTAAACCCTAAACCCTAAAGCCTAAACCCTAAAGCCTAAACCCTAAAGCTTGAAGCCTAAACCCTAAACCCTAAACCCTAATTCCTATGGAACTAAGCCAGCAATCGTCTACATTCAAAAGACAGAAAAAGCCGCTCACCACAAACAGCTAAAGGGTTTAGGGTTTAGGGTTTAGGGTTTAGGGTTTAGCGTTTAGGCCTTAGGCTTTAGAACGTACAGTCTACAGTTTAGGAATTAGGGTGAAAAGCTGGAGTTGTAGGGTTGGTTCAATGCGTTAGGGTTTAGGGTTTAGGGTTTAGGGTTTAGGGTTCAGGGTTTAGGGTTTAGGGTTTGTAGGTTCGTTGAGTTTGTTTTCCCGCATTAAATGGGAGTCTACGATTTTCGTTAGCTCACAAGTAGAGGGTGGCGAAAACCCTAAACCCTAAACCCTAAACCCTAAACCCTAAACCCTAGCGGGCAGCAGGTGGGGTCTAGGGTTTAGGGTTTAGGGTTTCCATCGGAGCGCGGTTTGCTGCTGTGAAATAAAAGACAAAACGGAAAGGGTTTTGTTTGCTGCTGCTGAGGCGAAGAGAAGTTTAAAGAGAAAACCCCAAGGGTTTAAATTCCCACATATATTCGTGCGTAGAGATGCGCTGCTGCTGCTGCTGCTGCTGCTGCTGCTGCTGCTGCGCTGCTGCTGCTGCTGCTGCTGCTGCTGTTTAAGGGCGTATTGGGGGGAGTCTGGGGTCAAAATGAAAAAAAAACAAAACTGAATTAAATGGACTTATTTGTGAAGAGGTAAAACTGCAAAAAGTCCGAACTCGCATGCACTGGCGCCCCGATTGCGCCGCCAGCAGCTAGCCACAGGGGGGGCTCCAGATATTTCATTTCTTTTCGACTTTTCGCGAAATTTTGCATTTAATTTATTTTAATTTCAAAAATTTCATTCAAAAAGATCCAAAAATATCCAAAAACCTCCAAAATCCACCCAGGGGGCCCCCCGAGCCGGCGCGGGGGCCCCCGCCGCTCCGCTCGGAGGCCCCCCGGGGGGCCCCAGCGTCAAGGGTTTAGGGTTTAGGGTTTAGGGTTTGTCTTTTCTTTATTGAACAAAACTCGACTTATTAATGAAGCAATAAAGATTTAGTCTGCTGAATTCATTTGCTTTTAAAATTGCGCATTTTCAGATCTCCAAACACATGCAATTCAATGCACAACGAGGGTTTAGGGTTTAGGGTTTAGGGTTTCGATCGCCGAGGCATCGACTGCTTCTGCTGATTTCCTTCGTTTCATTCTAAACAATTAAAATAAAGATAAATAATTTAAATAAAAGCAAACAATTAAAATATGAACAAACAACAAGCACAGATCCAGGTGTACATACACCTGACCAGGTG